ATTCATTATATTAATTTTTTGAAATCATCAATTTGTCATCTCCTAAATCTCTTAAGTTTTTCATTTAAAATAAGTCATGTGCTTCTTGTTTTTATATTTTTATATTTATAGTTATACGAAGATATATTTACACTAGGGTAGGGTATATTGTTTTTGGACTTGTGGGATCCTTTTCATAAGTTCTCTAGTTCTATTCGGTAAGCACAAAAAAAATTTGGCTGGTAAAAAAAAATTAATGAAAATTGTTGGCTATAGTGATAGGAATTTTAGTACATGTGCAAAACAGATTAAAATCACACAAAATACTTGTAAGAGAACATGTAGTTGTAATATAAACGGCTATAATAAAGTCGTTCTCCACAAGAATATTTAAAAAAATTATATTTAATCTAAATCTTAATTCATTACTTAAAACAAAGTTTTAGAAAATATGTTGATTTTATGACCTAGATTAACAAAACTGATTTTAATTAAAAAGATTAGAAAAATCTGCAATATTAAAGAAAGGGAAAGAAAATAATTTTTGAAAATTAAGTTGTAAAAGCACTAGAGTTCCACCGTCACCTTAACAATCGTATGTAATTTATCAATTATCTATGAATTAGACATGCAACTTTGAAGGTTAGGTTTTCCTAATGTATATTCTACTTTGACCTCCAACCTAGAACGTATATCAAACATGCAATTCGGATCACATTTAAACAAAAAAGACTTATAAAGCTTTATTAAAACTCTTTGAAAAATCATGCAACCATTAAGACGTGGTGTTCGCTCTAAGTGAACTTACAATTATTAACCACAAGAAGTCATAACCAATTTCAAGAAACCTTCCGACAAAATTGCATTAAATTACTTTTCTAAAGATCCTAATGGTAGCTAAGCATTAAGATGATAGTTTAAATATAGTGATTAATAATTCAAAGTACACATGCATAATATCATAAGCAATTAAATAAAAACTACATATTCATGCTAATTTTCATGGCCTCGCTGTCACATCCCGGCCTGGGCCCCATTGCATGCCAGGCTCGACTCCGTCATAGCACGATATTGTCCTTTTTGGGCCCCAACCATGCCTTCACGGTTTTGTTTCTGGGAACTCACGAGCAACTTCCTAGTGGGTCACCCATCATGGGAGTGCTCTCGCGCTACTCGCTTAAATTCGGAGTTCCGACGGAACCCGAAGCCAGTGAGCTCCCAAAAGGCCTCGTGCTAGGTAGAATATACATTTAAGGATCACTCTCCTGGGCGATGTGGGATGTTACACTCGCCCTAACAAAAGAAAGTTAATTATACGTATTCATAATTAAAATCAAAAGGAATTTTATTGAAATAGAAAAAGAGTTAAAACACCTTGAAAGTAAAAGTCTCAGAATCTTCAAAAGCTCTAGCCAAATTACTCTCTCCAAAGTCGTACAAAGAATACGACTAGGGCTAGCCAAAAGGCCTTATTTATGCTACTACAGTTGAAATCATTCCTAGAAAATGTCTTAGAATAAAACTAGGAAATAAAATAAATAAAGAGAAACTAGGAAACAATCTCCTAGTCAAACATGGAGAATATGCCATCAAACTTATCAGCCACGTTTTTAGCTACAAAAAGCTCCAAAACAGGTTCAAGATAGCTTATTTTAAAGACATTCTGAACATATCTCCATGAGGGTCCGAACCCAAAAGAGACAATCTTGGACGCCAAAAAACCCAAATAAGCCCAAAAACGTCACTTTGGCAGCATTGCACGCTGCTCATTCATTTCATCGCCATAAATAATCCGTTAGGTAGAAAAATCTGAAACGTTGAGAGACTCAAAAACATCTTCCAATTGAAATCACTAAAATTCATCTATTTGATCACTTTTTCTGAAGAGGAAGTTGAAAGTCTTACATTGAAAATATAATTCAAAGTATCAAAATTTCACCAAGATAATTACCAAAACATACCAAGAATATGGGAAAATATATAATATGAAATCAAACCATCATAGAGATTATTTGAGCAACACATGTATATATTAACAATTAAAAAAAAGTATGAACTCAAAACAAATCTAATTCCATAAAAATTTAAGGCCTAGTAGATGGTGAACCAAGACTCCTTCCGTAAATGAAAGAAGAAAGTTTGAATCTTACCCTTGAAGCTCATCCTTATTTTTACAAGGCAACCACCCAAGTGGAGGGCCATCAAGTCCTCTACTTGCTCCTTGAATCTTTGTTTCTTCCTTACTCCTTTGCTCCTTGAGAATTTGATGAAAGGATTCTTCAAGCAGCAAAGAGATGACACCTCTAAGTCCACACACCATGGATGTGAGGTGAAGACAAGATGGATAAACTAGGAGAAGTTTTGATGCTAATAAAACTTTTTTCTAGTTGGCTGGCTAAAGAGAGAGAGGGAGAGTTTGTGTGCCTCCAAACTTTCTCTCCAAAGAACCCTAATGAGTTTTTGCCTATAAAGTCACTTTTACACACACTCACAAGTGAGTGGCATAAGTGAAATTGAGGCCAATCCTCATGTATAGCCAGCTACCCTAGTGTAGGTGGGCTTGTGTCTCATTTTGTTTAAGTTGTCCTACAAAGTTTAATGGACCTTATGGATCAAAGCCCATTGGGCCTAGAAAACCCAAAACTAATTTGAAGCCTAATACAAACCTTTCTTATAATAAATAACTAATTAATTAATTTTGACCATACACAATTAAACTATTTAATTGCTTATATCCATCCCAGTTACATATTTTTCATCTCACCCTAATATGATGTATGATCCATTAGGTTCCAATTAGCGAGGCAGTGAATGATTGTAACTCTTACTAAACAATTGTGAATTAAAACTTACTTTCAATCTCCTTATGACGAAGATTAATGATTACTAATCTTCAGGGCTTTCACAAACCATGAGTGACACCTAACAGCATGCCATGACTACCCAAGCCAATAGAAGTGGTTGAAGAACTTATTCAGTTACAACTACAATGCAATACGGTGCTTCTCTAATTCAATACTCCTGACCACATTGTTTAGTTGATAAACTGTTTGGTGGAGAGTTTATTTCATGTCTACTATCCAATACGATACTTCTGTATATGATTCTAGTGAATATGATTTGGAACATTATTCCTAAGTCATATTCATATGCTTTGGCCAAACACTCTCGAATCATATCTTAGAGTATTTTTCTTCTGCTATGGAAGGTTAGAGGTCCCTTGTTGTACACTTACATGTCTCTACGGATAAATTAATGATCCCAACAATGCTAGGAACATGGCCAAGATGAGGCATGTACTTTGTTACATGGTCAAATGATGAAAGACATACCCAAAAGGCATATGTGGTGTCTCAAGAAAAATGACTACTTGTATTTGTGTGTATGTATGTATAAGTATATATACATATATACATATATATATATATATGTTAATGTATGTCTATGTCCATGTATATATATATATATATATTATGCATATGTATATGTACTTTCGTCTTAGGACTGACATTATTTTGCTTCACCGGCTAATTATTCGAAATGCCGTCAAATTTGAGCATTGGGTGTTGACGCACTCCTTTAGTTAATTTATAGAGGTATTCATCAATTTCTTTCCTGAACTTGTGATTATTGGCCAATTTTCCCCCTCAACTTTAATTTTGGCCAATTTCCTCCCTCAACTCTCATAATTAGTCAATTCCCCCCCTCAACTTTAATTTGGCCAATTTCCCCCCTCAACTCTCATAATTAGTCAATTTGCACCCTACTGTTAATTTTTTTAATTTGATCATAATTAAACAAGTGTGTGTAAGAAACTAAATAATATGTATGTTAATCATTTTCCTATGTCTTTATCCTATTACAAATAGATTAAAATTTAGAATTTTACAATTTATCATAGATAATATTATTAGTCATAATAAATCAGTATGGAGTAATTTTATTTGATTTTTTACTATACAAAATTGATAACAAAAATGATTGATGTGTACATTTTTGTATGTGAATACAATTTTCTTTATGAAAGTGAAAGCAAAGTTCAAGTAAATTGCGGAGAATCGAGCTTTAGTGCAAAAATGGCTAGTCAATTCATAATTTTCGACTCCTTATTAAGAATAACCCATTTTATTGAAATAGGTCTGATCCATGAGTTTAGGATTATTATTTCTTCTTCTACATGCTTTAAACCCGATTCATAACTTTTTCTTATAATCAACCCATATCACATACTAATTGTATTATGTTTTTGTACATTTTACCCTATATTATGCAGGTGAGTTTATGTTAATTTTAGTACTTTGTTGGAAGTGATTAGAAATATTGAAAGAAAGAAAAAGAATAGATGGAAAATTAAAAAAAATTAATAGTAGGGTGCAAATTGACTAATTATGAGAGTTGAGGGGGGAAATTGGCCAAATTAAAGTTGATGAGAGAAATTGACTAATTATGAGAGTTGAGGGGGGGAAATTGGCCAATGGTCACAAGTTCAGAGGGGAATTGATGAATACCTCTAATTTATAAACTAACATGACAAGTTTTTCAATCCGCCACACCGCGTGGGCAAAATTTTTTGTGAAAATCGAACATGGAGGTACTTGAGAAACAGTTTCAAAACCGCAAATGTTTTGCACTCGAAAAGGCATCTACGCAACTTAAGACACAAGGATGAAGATAGTCCGAGATCAAGTTCCACAACTTTACACCGGATATCAGTGCAAATCCAAGCATCCACACCAGAAGCATCCTTGATTCCGCCCTGGTAAAGAGAACATTTTTCCATCTGCGTGACAAAACGTTGCAGCTCTCTTACAACAAACCTCAGCCCTCCATTTTTGTAGATTAAAAACCAGCGGATGTGATGAGTTGATATGCACAATACGCAGCTCATGCCTGAAAAATATAATGTGGTACAGTGGTACCGGTCTGTTTGTCAATAGGACTGGAGTGCTTTGTGGGTTTGTTTGTTATGCAAGAAAAGAGTTGCCAAGAAAATCGACCGGGAACAAACTCTGGAAAAATTCTCCCCAAAACGACTTAAACGGAAAGCTTGAGAACTTAACTATGTTATGTCAGTACTAACTATAATCTTAGTTTTGAGCATTACAATACAAAGTCCAGAAGGACAAAATTGGAGTCATCGTCATCGTTGAGACTCAAGAGTGTATATATCTTCACCAAAAATTTCATTTGTGATACTTTTGATCACAGCTCCAATAGCTCAGGAAAGTACCAAGTTTGCTTACCAGTCAGGTCAACGATCTTAGAACCTTACCAATTTAATTCTTGTATGATAGGTGATCCGCAGAGTATATCTTGAGTGCAGTCGTAACGTAATCACTCTGTCATCAGCAAGTAAGAAACAGCTATATCCATTCAGAGACACCTTACTGAGTGACGTCAGACTTCAGCTCTCTGTTCACATAATCCAAGTATCCCTGACAAATATGGAAATATAAATTCCTGTTAGCACCCAACACTCTGAAAACTGATTGAGATGAATGCTATTTGTATTGTCTACCTGAAACAACCAAAGAATTAGTTCTCGTTTGATAACCACCATTTCACATGATTGAGATATGCAGAAAGTACATATGGGAGAAAGGATAGATGAAGAAAGTTGGTGGGAGAGAAGAAATAAAGAATAATGAACGAAAATGAAATCTTGAGAGGGAAAACAACTCACAGTAGCTTTTGGTTTTTAGTTTTCATTTTGTGTACATTTCTTCTACATCTATCATAAATTTCCCCATATCTCAAGCATAAATAGTGAAAAATAAAAAACTAAAAAAATGGTCATCAAAAGGGTCCCTTACAATATTTATTCAGTTTTATCTAGCACAATCCGACACCTTTCATTGGATTCTATGTAACAGAAGAAAACATACAAAGCTACCTGGAGTATACCAACAGCAGCAAACTTGTCCATAATTGTCTTGGACTGAACTGGAGGCAGATTCAAAGGCTTCAACAGTAGTTCCACATTCTGTTTGCGGTAAAATAGAATCTGAGATTCTAGATCGCTTACAAAATAAGGATACTTGTTGTGTAATTTGTAATAATAGCCTAACTCTTAAGTGTAGGCTGCTCTCTTGCCGGCAAACAAAGTACAAGCAAGATCTTTAACATTTGAAACACAAAAACTGCAAAACCTAACGGATAGTAAATTAACACTAGACACATCCAAGTTAGCAGCAGTGCCCATATGATGAATGAATAGTGTGTCAGAAGCATCATGTCACAAGACTAAATAATTTTCCCACACTATATGCACTAACCTTTGATGTAAATCCCTCGTCCCAATATGTATACTTTAAGCCTTCCAGTTTTCTTGTCTTAGAGAGGTCGTCAATGAAAAGCTTCACTTGGACAGCCTAAACAAAGACGAGCAAATCATGATAAAAAAAAAATGAGAGTCCCCACATAGACAACTCAAGCTAAGAATACACACATCAGGAGTCCCTTTTTGTCTGTCGAACGGGTATCCAACAATGAAGCCCACCAGAGAAAGCTCAGAAATCTGCATACAGAAACAGAAGGAATTATGAATCTGACTTGGGAACTAACATGGACCAAGGTTTCAAACAGTCTTACATCACTGATGTACTATCATGTATGATTTGTACGCATGCTTGGTTACATGCCTGTTACGCCTAGAAATCTAATGATATTGAATACATGGGTATGACCAGGAGAAACCAAAGTTCCTAAACTCATGAGAAGTTCAGAACCAATCACGAAGAAAAACTAAACGCATATAGATATCTTTGAGGCAGCATTGATAGGTACATTCTTCGATATGGTCAATATTTGCATGCAAATATCCAAAAAATTAAAAAAAGATATGGTAAGGGGGGGGGGGGGGTTGAACTTCACCTCTTATCAGAGAAACGATTAAGTTTAGGCTAAAATCGACATATAGTCAATATTGCTGACACATCTGTTAAAATAGCGGAGAAACTCATATTTCGTTCAAACCAAAGTTTGACAACATACCCAAAGTTTCATTTTAAATTTCCAGAATTTAACAGTGCCAGAACATCTGTAACTTCAATTTCCAGAATTTAACTTGTAAATGGCCCTTCAATTAACATAAACAAGTAAATAAAATCAGGAAATGAACAAAAAACAAAAAAAAAACTCACCAAACTCTGAAAATCGGCGGCCATCAAACCAATATTTGATTTCTTCCTCAACAGAACACTGCGGAGCATCAAATATTAAGAGACCCAAACTCATATGTGAACCATAATTTGAAGATTTACAGGAGGAAATTATTCCAGTACCTCAAGGGCGACGCAATCTTGTTATGAAGATCCGAAACGGCTACGCCGACGTACTTGTCACCGACGTCCAAACCCAGCAACCGCCCGCGTTCCAGAGTATTGGCCTTGAGCAGATCCTGGAACAAGTTCAGCGGCTTCACGTACCTCATCTAATTCGATGCGAATTTGTCCCAAATATATTTGATGAACTCACTTATGGATTTTGTCCTACACTTACGGCGTCGACTGATTAGCGAGGGTTTTCTTGTTTTTTTGGTTTTTAAACAAACCATGTTATGAGGAGAGGTTTAGTTAGGGTTTAAAGTTCATTAGGTTCTTACCTGTATAATGATTAATGAATAGTTCTAATTCGTTTTCCACAATAATCTAACTTTAAACTTCTTACTTATAAAATAAATAAAGGGAAATTTTAGTTGAACTCATCTAATCTATTTCTACATCCAACATACTCTTTGTACCCATTTGATTTTTAACTAAACTATTAATATCTCTTTAAACCCAAATTTGATACCTAATACACCCACATAAACCCAATTCAATATGTGGATTTATTTTTACACCCATTTGATATTTAGAAGCTAAATTTGATGTGTTCAGACCTAAGTTCTTTGCATGGTTTTCCACAACACAAAAGCTGATAATTCAAGTGTCACCTGCATGCTAAAAATCACTTCGAAAAGCGATCTGTATAGTTATGGGGTTGTCATTTTGGAGATCATAACTGAGAAAAGAAAAGGCCGGTGGACCCATCATTCACAGATGGGCAAGTCTGCAAATTTACGAGATAAAAATCAATGGCTCTCAAGGCCGTTCATGTCTTTGATGTTCCAAACCTCGATCAAGTCACAGAAAATGCTGCTGCATTGGCCATACATTCTCCGTGGTTGGCTCAAGGTCTCGGCATTTTCCATCGAATTAATTTCTTGTGATGTTTGTACTCGTGAGGAGCTATATTTAAGTATCGTACTGTTTTGTGTTATTTTCTATGATTATAAATGTTATATTTCCACAGGCTGAATACTGGATGATGAGAGGGCAAAATTATATGCAATGGTGGTCAACAAAGGTTTTTCTGTGAGATTTGCTTTTGCTGCTGCAATTTTTGGCAAATCCTCAGAAGCTCTTTTCTGGCTACAGCTGCCTTGTACTCTTAACCATTTGTTGAATAAGATGGTAAATAAGTCTCCGCAAAAAACCCCTGCTTCAGCATTCGTTCCAGAGATTGATGATGCATCTAAGCTTAATAGGATAACATCAAGGGACCTGGATTGTCTGCCCTCTCCCATCCCATACCCTTCCCATCCCTTCCTATTTCTGTGGTTACGGTTAAGCCACGTTCAACATTTTATATTGATTTTTTTTAGAGAAATAATAAGATAAAAAGCAATGAGAATATAAAATGTTGACATGGCTTAACCGTGACCACAGAAATAGGAGGGGATGGAAAGGGTATGGAATGGGGAGGGCAGACAATTCAGGTCCAACATCAAAAGGAAAGTCAGTTTCTGGAACAGAACATAAAGATGCAATGGTAAGTTGCATTTCAAGATAATATTTTTCCCAAATTTTGTGTACAAGATTTAAGCTAGGTTGCTACGTTACTCACATTTCTCCTTATCTTGTGCTCTTCAATTCTAAACTATTGTGTGATATTTCCTTTATATAAGCTTTTGTAACATCTTTATGAGAGCTATTAGGATTTTAGCCGGAATGAACGTAGGATAAACAAAGAATGATGGTAAGATTTAATTATAATGTTTGGGTTTATTGATAAATTTGAGTTTTATTACTAATTTCATTTTGTACTTAATAGTAATTATGCAATACGATAAAATAGATAATTAACATTTAAAATTTTAAGTTGGGTGTAAAAAGAGGTTGAATGAGTTTAAATAAAATTTTCCTAAAATAAATGAATAGGATACAACTAGCCTCTTACAGATTACTGTTTAATCCTAATTGTTGAATTTGTTTAATTTATTCAACCCAATAGCCATAGACAAACAGGAAAACATGAGATGCTAAAAAACGTGTGAAAGGGGCTGCTTTACTCCATACAACTGAAAGTTGCATTTATAACTTCAGAAACATTTCCAGGGCGGAAAAAACACAAAGGGGAAAACTCGTCATATAGCTCAAGAAATTAAAATTTAGGACCATCTACGTGAGCTGAAATCATGGTAATCAATTGAATAAATTAAATGATGGCCTACAAACAATTTTCTTTTTAACGTTTCACCCTTCCAAATGAGAAAACAGAGAGAGACTATCAAGCTTGGCACGTCGTTTAGCCGCCCTTCTGAAAGGTTTCCGATTTCGCCACCATAAACGTTCTATCCCGCTAGAACACCTATAAACATTGTTGGGGTTCTTTTGTGCTAGACCGGACTCCGCCTTCTTTGGGTTCGTCCTGCACTTTGCATGCGTAGGAGAGGGCGTTTTGGGCTCTACAGATTTCGCATCAGTACATCTGTCGAAGCATGCATTTTGGGAGAACCAGTTATTGGACACGCATGGTATAGGATACAATAAATTTGGAGGAGACCAGACTGACCTCTCTTGATCCACCGCGGGTTCACAAGACAACTCTTCTCCTAGAGGCTGACATGCAGGGCATATGTAAACCTTTGGTGTGGAACGTAATTTAATGCAATCAAAGTGATACCACTCATTACATTGGTCACACGCAATCATTGCTCGTTGATCATACGGCTTTCGGCAAATGCAATAAAGCATACTCCGAGCTTTCAACAACTGAAACAAGTAAGCATTTTTTCATAGGGGGTCAGAGATCAGCACAGTTTATTAACAAAAGGCCACAGCACATAATTAAGATGAAAGCCTCCTCTGTACCTTAAGTTCCTTCTCTAGACGAACAGGCAAATTTTCACCCTCCGAAACAAGTTCAAAAACTTTATCCAAGGGGAGAGCCCCAGAATCGGCAGCAACCTGTGCACAAAAGGCAAATAAGAGAGGAGAGGAGAGAGAAAAAGAGAAGATAGGAGAAAGAGAGAGGACAGAAAAGTGCTCCTAACCTTCTTAGCAGTATCTGCCCACTGCAAACCAATAATCCTCACTTCTGTAAGTTTCTGCCAATAATAATCCGAAGGCGGAATGTTCAAGGCAGCTCCCTAAGCATTGAAGAAAAGACAAATAAATGCATGAATATTAACTACAGAAAAAATATACGATATTCTTTCCTGCTAAATTGCTATTCTTGATAAAGGTTTGCTATTTTGGACAATCAAGAGTAACCTCACACCAGAACATTTGTTTTTGCCTTAAAAGTTGAAGTTCAATGTATTAAATGCTTTTTCTTTCATTTCTTTAGTTTCTAAAAGCAAAAAAACTGTAGCCCCCATTTCTCGGTATCCAGTACTCGTGCACAAGCAAAGAAATTTCTCGATCTAATAAACAACTGTTGGAAAATGTTTTCCATGCCACCGTTTGGTCAAAAAAAAACCAGAGGACTGAGAAATTGTTGCACGAGAAATCCATCTTAAGAACATAGAACGCGCTTCAAATTCATTTAATATCAGCAGGACATACCTCTTTTAACTGCTGCTGAACCTGTTGGATTGTGGGCTTTTGTGAACCCTCCAATAACCTATTGACTCTGACTTTCCATGAGTATCTTGATAAAGCCAACATAAGGTTGATATCACCTTCATGATCATGCACACCCTGCATTTCTCTGGCCTGTATAACAAAAACAATTTCAATCACGAAGATGTACCAAGCCTATATCAAGGTCGTTCCCATCAACAGAATATACCAAGATTGGTTATTCTCCATTTTTCTTTTCAATTTCTGGAAGACTAGTTTTCTAACAACATAACTAGCAAATTCCAACCCAAAGGCATTTATACTAGATGACAAAGCCAATGGGTCCATCATATTTAAAATAAAATAAAATAGTTCAACACTACAGCAAAACACTCCTTAAGATACCTTTAAAGCTGTTGTTAGTTTTTCAACGAGCACACTGAGATCCTTATCAGAATAAGCTAATGCAAAATCCACTAATTCTGTCAAGCGAGATTTGCATGCTAGAGCTTGCTTCAAAACTTCTTTCAGTACATCTCTTTCTTTAATACTGTAAATCCAAAACAATGTTAATAATTTCAATAACTTTAAGAACAAAGCATGAATAAACAAGTAACTTAAAAGAGTGCACTTCATTACCAAACACAGAAGTCTTCTTCACCAGATAAATGTTCAATAATTTTTTGAAGTTCTGGACGCATCCCACCAAGTTTCTATACCATATAAATAGGATATTAAAATAGATATCAAACATACAGCCTTCCTTACAGAATATACTAGACAAATTAAATACATACCAGAGTACTGAGCCCACTTCGAGAAGAAGTTCCAGATACCAGATATCGGCAACATGGGCATTCATATTCTGCATGTTTTCCACCTACCATGGAAGACCCTAGACACCGCAAATGGTAGCTGTTCAAGAAGATATCAAGTTATAACCTATAACAGAGGGGAAGATTTACAGGAATTGTGTTTCTTGCTTGAAATTCTTCATAGTAAAAACAAGTGATTGAAGTGCAAAAATAAGATTGAAATAGCAACCTAATGTGAAACAATTAAGTACTAATAATAACATGTAAGGGTGAAGAACCTGCAAAACTTTACAATAGCAATAAATAACTTACCAGTCCTTGCATGAAGAACAAGTGAGAAATTCCTGATCCAGAGAACCACTGGAGCAGCAAGCAAAAGAACTACTCTCTTTCAAGCCATGTGGTTTCTCATATATGTGTATACATCTCTTTAGAGTCTGTCCTATCTGTGAATCAATAACAACGATTTAAGTCCCCCCGGAAAACATTACAATTAGATGTAATAAATTACAGTTTTAGCTGAAAACCTTTTCTAAACCGCCAAGCAATGAATTATCATCTCCAACTACTATCCTGAAAATATCCATGCACTGTTGTTTCCAACTCTCAACCCTTTCAACTTCAGATACAATCAAATCTAGTTCTGTGCAACTGAAAGCAGCAGAAACTCCAAGTTCCTGAGTGCAATTGAATCATATTAGGCATGTTTTCAGGAATTTAAGTACATAATCGAATGTAATTTAACAATCAATATAATTGACAAGAGAAAGCAGGCAAAAATTATACAACATTGACCAAGCCAAAGTGTTGTACTCTTCAACAATCATAGAAGTCATCAGTTATAATCAAACATCACCTATGCTGATCCATTAACATTATAAATACAAGTGAAGACATTTATTTAAAGGTGAACTGCTAGAGAACGAAGATGAACTTTGTCA